CTTGCTTTTTCTAATCTAACGCTAGGTTATATTTCTTCTCCTGTTGGAATAACTAAAGTACCTTTCTTAAGAATATCTACCTCATCATTGACCCATTGCTCCTTCACCTGAGCAATAGTACGCTCTAAGAACAATTCTTTCTCTGTGGGACCCATGGTTTCCATGTCGTTTTCTCCAGCGGCTAATGCTGATAAACTAGTCCTGTTAATCAAGTAGCTTGTTATGATACTTCGAGTTCTGATACTGGATTCACTGCTACTCTGATAGTAGTTTTTATAGGTTGAATTTACGAACTGAGCAATAGCACTTGCTACTATAGTAGCTTGAGAGAAAACTCTTCCGTTCAACATCGCACAATCATCTTTAGTAGCTAATATCTTTACATACATCATATCCTCCTTTTTATATTTTTTAAGTTCTTTGATAGCAGCAGCATATCTTTCTTTCAAACCTCTTAATAGCGGTGTTTCTAATAGTTCTGGATACTGTTCCAATATAAATGTATCTATCATTGTTAGGTGATTTATTTCATGACCTCTAAGGAGATGATGGATTTCTGCAAACACCAATGCACAGTCTGTGGTGGGTTGTTGACCGATGGCAACAATTTCAAAGTAGAACCTCTTCTTAAGCTCATGATAAGCAGAGGCCATACCTTGTAATCTTTGGAGCTGAAATAGTTCTGGCAATGTACCGTCACTCGTGTTCTGTGGGGTATAATCGTCTCCCAATGTTCCTGAAAAAGTAAGAAAGTAATGTCACGAAAGGATATTTTCCAAATTATTCTCAAATATTACTACTACTATTATTATTATTTCACTGTTCTAATTTATCGAGTTTGTTATATTTCTCAGCAATTCAACTGTCCTCATTCGTGACAAAACATTTTTCAATAAAATAAACATTTGAGGTGATCGATCGGAATCCACGTACCAAGAGGGACTTGACGTTCGGTCCGAATAGCGGACGGTTGCTTGTGGCAACGGGGATGTCCCAATTGGGACATCCCCTAGTTTTTGTGTTAGATCATTGTAAGTACCATTTTTATTATTCATTAAATCTTCCACCTAATGCCTCTTCAAGGAATGTCAAAATTGTAATTCATCATTAATAACTCCTTATTTCCTTTTGTTGTTCAAACTCAAGTCCTCTTTTTTGATCAAGATTAATAAGTTAGCTGGTATAAGATGATTTAAATACTTGTATAATTCTTGTGAGTCGGGCACCCTAGAATCTTCGATGAACACTACTTTTTTGAAATCTTTTCCTCTCTCCATTTCTCTCTCTATCTTCTTGGAGTCAGATTTCATAACAACTCCAGCTGCAGTTAAAGGTTTTATAGCTGCAACCAACTCATTAACCTTGTTTGTAAGCCCATCTATCTTATTGTTCTGATCTTTAATTATATCTCCCAATATAGTCACCATGTCTAGCACTTCGGAAAAATAAGGGGTTATAGAATCAATATTTTGCTCGACCGAATTTTCAATTGATTTGATTCTCTGTTGTAACAGATTGTTGCTAATGACCAATTGAGCATTGATGAAGTTTAAATTCGACTGCTCTAATAAGGCTGTCATTGCTCCCTCCCCGTGTTTTTCCAGTGAAGCAACGTACTTTGGCACAGTTAGCTTCTCTTCTTCAACTTTTTCTTCCTCGTCCGATAGATCGCTACCTGTACCACTACTGGTGTCACTGTGATTAGTTCTCTCTTTTTCTTTTAAAGCATCTTTCAGTTCTTCTAGTAAATTTTGAGTAGTTCCCACTGGTTCGCTATTGGGATGAAGGATGGTGGTTAATGCTGGTCTAATGTATTTATTGATTTCTTCGTCCTCGTCCTCTTCTTCATCATTAGGTACAACTAGCTCTAATGGTTCATTGGAGATTGACTTTATTCCCCTGAGCAAGGTATGCACCTCTAGATCTTCAGGTGTTAGAACCTCAGGAGTGTTAGTTGATGCAAGCAAAAACAAGTGAGGTGGTCTTACTTCAGGATCCACCTGGCTTAACTCAGTAGAAGGAACATCTGTGCTTGGTGTATGCTCTTTGCCTTCTATTATAGCGTCAACTCTGGATTGTATACCCATTTCATCGGAATGCAATACATTATCAGGCTGGGTCATAGTGGGAGTATCATCTAGTGTAGTAGAGTCATTAATGCTCATAGAACTCTCATCCAAGTTCTCCATATTAGATCTGCCAAGTTGTTTTGGCTTTGACTGTGTGGATAGCTCCTTAAGTAAAGAATAATTTCTCTTACATTGACATAGGGTGACATCTAATCGGCAGCCGTCGCAATGCACCATTCTTCGTGGCCTTTTTTCGTGCTCAGGTATTAACTCCTGTAGTAGGGTTTCAGTGTTGTCTCCTAATCCTAGGATCTTACCAATGAACTTTAGCGAATCGTGAGCTAAGCGTTCTTCTGGATCGAGGGTTAGGTTGTTGGATCTCTTAAAAGCTTCAAGATAAGCCATTTAATCATTTAGACTTGCTTTTTCTAATCTAACGCTAGGTTATATTTCTTCTCCTGTTGGAATAACTAAAGTACCTTTCTTAAGAATATCTACCTCATCATTGACCCATTGCTCCTTCACCTGAGCAATAGTACGCTCTAAGAACAATTCTTTCTCTGTGGGACCCATGGTTTCCATGTCGTTTTCTCCAGCGGCTAATGCTGATAAACTAGTCCTGTTAATCAAGTAGCTTGTTATGATACTTCGAGTTCTGATACTGGATTCACTGCTACTCTGATAGTAGTTTTTATAGGTTGAATTTACGAACTGAGCAATAGCACTTGCTACTATAGTAGCTTGAGAGAAAACTCTTCCGTTCAACATCGCACAATCATCTTTAGTAGCTAATATCTTTACATACATCATATCCTCCTTTTTATATTTTTTAAGTTCTTTGATAGCAGCAGCATATCTTTCTTTCAAACCTCTTAATAGCGGTGTTTCTAATAGTTCTGGATACTGTTCCAATATAAATGTATCTATCATTGTTAGGTGATTTATTTCATGACCTCTAAGGAGATGATGGATTTCTGCAAACACCAATGCACAGTCTGTGGTGGGTTGTTGACCGATGGCAACAATTTCAAAGTAGAACCTCTTCTTAAGCTCATGATAAGCAGAGGCCATACCTTGTAATCTTTGGAGCTGAAATAGTTCTGGCAATGTACCGTCACTCGTGTTCTGTGGGGTATAATCGTCTCCCAATGTTCCTGAAAAGGTAAGAAAGTAATGTCACGAAAGGATATTTTCCAAATTATTCTCAAATATTACTACTACTATTATTATTATTTCACTGTTCTAATTTATCGAGTTTGTTATATTTCTCAGCAGTTCAACTGTCCTCATTCGTGACAAAACATTTTTCAATAAAATAAACATTTGAGGTGATCGATCGGAATCCACGTACCAAGAGGGACTTGACGTTCGGTCCGAATAGCGGACGGTTGCTTGTGGCAACGGGGATGTCCCAATTGGGACATCCCCTAGTTTTTGTGTTAGATCATTGTGAGTACCATTTTTATTATTCATTAAATCTTCCACCTAATGCCTCTTCAAGGAATGTCAAAATTGTAATTCATCATTAATAAATCCTTATTTCCTTTTGTTGTTCAAACTCAAGTCCTCTTTTTTGATCAAGATTAATAAGTTAGCTGGTATAAGATGATTTAAATACTTGTATAATTCTTGTGAGTCGGGCACCCTAGAATCTTCGATGAACACTACTTTTTTGAAATCTTTTCCTCTCTCCATTTCTCTCTCTATCTTCTTGGAGTCAGATTTCATAACAACTCCAGCTGCAGTTAAAGGTTTTATAGCTGCAACCAACTCATTAACCTTGTTTGTGAGCCCATCTATCTTATTGTTCTGATCTTTAATTATATCTCCCAATATAGTCACCATGTCTAGCACTTCGGAAAAATAAGGGGTTATAGAATCAATATTTTGCTTGACCGAATTTTCAATTGATTTGATTCTCTGTTGTAACAGATTGTTGCTAATGACCAATTGAGCATTGATGAAGTTCAAATTCGACTGGTCTAATAAGGCTGTCATTGCTCCCTCCCCGTGTTTTTCAAGTGAAGCAACGTACTTTGGCACAGTTAGCTTCTCTTCTTCAACTTTTTCTTCCTCGTCCGATAGATCGCTACCTGTACCACTACTGGTGTCACTGTGATTAGTTCTCTCTTTTTCTTTTAAAGCATCTTTCAGTTCTTCTAGTAAATTTTGAGTAGTTCCCACTGGTTCGCTATTGGGATGGAGGATGGTGGTTAATGCTGGTCTAATGTATTTATTGATTTCTTCGTCCTCGTCCTCTTCTTCATCATTAGGTACAACTAGCTCTAATGGTTCATTGGAGATTGACTTTATTCCCCTGAGCAAGGTATGCACCTCTAGATCTTCAGGTGTTAGAACCTCAGGAGTGTTAGTTGATGCAAGCAAAAACAAGTGAGGTGGTCTTACTTCAGGAGCCACCTGGCTTAACTCAGTAGAAGGAACATCTGTGCTTGGTGTATGCTCTTTGCCTTCTATTATAGCGTCAACTCTGGATTGTATACCCATTTCATCGGAATGCAATACATTATCAGGCTGGGTCATAGTGGGAGTATCATCTAGTGTAGTAGAGTCATTAATGCTCATAGAACTCTCATCCAAGTTCTCCATATTAGATCTGCCAAGTTGTTTTGGCTTTGACTGTGTGGATAGCTCCTTAAGTAAAGAATAATTTCTCTTACATTGACATAGGGTGACATCTAATCGGCAGCCGTCGCAATGCACCATTCTTCGTGGCCTTTTTTCGTGCTCAGGTATTAACTCTTGTAGTAGGGTTTCAGTGTTGTCTCCTAATCCTAGGATCTTACCAATGAACTTTAGCGAATCGTGAGCTAAGCGTTCTTCTGGATCGAGGGTTAGGTTGTTGGATCTCTTAAAAGCTTCAAGATAAGCCATTTAATCATTTAGACTTGCTTTTTCTAATCTAACGCTAGGTTATATTTCTTCTCCTGTTGGAATAACTAAAGTACCTTTCTTAAGAATATCTACCTCATCATTGACCCATTGCTCCTTCACCTGAGCAATAGTACGCTCTAAGAACAATTCTTTCTCTGTGGGACCCATGGTTTCCATGTCGTTTTCTCCAGCGGCTAATGCTGATAAACTAGTCCTGTTAATCAAGTAGCTTGTTATGATACTTCGAGTTCTGATACTGGATTCACTGCTACTCTGATAGTAGTTTTTATAGGTTGAATTTACGAACTGAGCAATAGCACTTGCTACTATAGTAGCTTGAGAGAAAACTCTTCCGTTCAACATCGCACAATCATCTTTAGTAGCTAATATCTTTACATACATCATATCCTCCTTTTTATATTTTTTAAGTTCTTTGATAGCAGCAGCATATCTTTCTTTCAAACCTCTTAATAGCGGTGTTTCTAATAGTTCTGGATACTGTTCCAATATAAATGTATCTATCATTGTTAGGTGATTTATTTCATGACCTCTAAGGAGATGATGGATTTCTGCAAACACCAATGCACAGTCTGTGGTGGGTTGTTGACCGATGGCAACAATTTCAAAGTAGAACCTCTTCTTAAGCTCATGATAAGCAGAGGCCATACCTTGTAATCTTTGGAGCTGAAATAGTTCTGGCAATGTACCGTCACTCGTGTTCTGTGGGGTATAATCGTCTCCCAATGTTCCTGAAAAAGTAAGAAAGTAATGTCACGAAAGGATATTTTCCAAATTATTCTCAAATATTACTACTACTATTATTATTATTTCACTGTTCTAATTTATCGAGTTTGTTATATTTCTCAGCAATTCAACTGTCCTCATTCGTGACAAAACATTTTTCAATAAAATAAACATTTGAGGTGATCGATCGGAATCCACGTACCAAGAGGGACTTGACGTTCGGTCCGAATAGCGGACGGTTGCTTGTGGCAACGGGGATGTCCCAATTGGGACATCCCCTAGTTTTTGTGTTAGATCATTGTAAGTACCATTTTTATTATTCATTAAATCTTCCACCTAATGCCTCTTCAAGGAATGTCAAAATTGTAATTCATCATTAATAACTCCTTATTTCCTTTTGTTGTTCAAACTCAAGTCCTCTTTTTATTGAGTATCAACCCTCAGCAAATCCCAACTAGCAAAGGCAGTAAGTCACATTCGTGACAATATTACTAAACTATATAGAGGGCTATATGGAATAGGTCCATCATCCTTATTAATTACTCTATGCAGTGATATTGCGAAACAACTATTATTATTTCTTAACTTTAACGCCCTGTATCTCGAGAACTGAACATGAAGACCGTATGTCCCTATCTCAGTGATTATGAAATCACGAGGGCTATCATCTGTCAAGCGTTGTCGGTCGAATTTCGCAACACATATCACACCACCTGTAAGGTAATTGCGGGAGAGTTGCCGCACTTTTTTAAATACATTCAAACTATATCCTTTCATAAAATATTAACAAAATGTGATATTGAGCAAACTTCGAGAAATAATAAAAAAAATAAAATGTTGAGGAAAGCGGCATTTCACCCTAACTATCAGGTGATATGCCACGTTGAAGTAGGAGAGATGCCACTGTCAGGAGAGATGCCACATCGAAGAAGAAGAGATGCCTCAGAACTTATTCTTGGAGTTCCAAATGTTGTCTTCGTAATTCGACCCTGGAACATATGTTGCAAACGTCTCCATACATCGTGCATGTCTCGTGTAGCCACTGCAAGCTTTGAGGCATTGCAACCAATCATCTTTTTTTTGTTTTTTATAGTTTTGTAGCACTCTAAGCAGAAATATTCCTCAGAAGTGAACTTTCTTGCGAGGGGTTCATCATCATTCTCACTCCATTCATTATTTGTTGCTTTGGGAGTAATAGATTCCTCATTGTTTTCCTTCTCTTTCATTCTTGACATCTGTTTATTGATTTTTTTGATAGGTAGTTTGCTTTTACTTTTATTGAAGATTATGTCCGTCTTCTTTCCTATATTCTCGATTGAATTCAGCACACTTGCACCCTGTTTCTTCCTCTTATTGAATAGAACTGGCATTTTTGGAATCGGCGAGACTTCATGCAAAAATTTTGAAGGTGAAAAATCATCTGAGTTTGATGTGCCTGGTTCAGGTACAGCATTCAATATTTCTTCAGATGCATTCGCAGCCTCATTCTGAACAATGACAACCACAAAGCCTCACAGGGAGTCTGTGAGGTTAGAAGAACTAAATCAATAAATGTAGTCAACTAGCAATATGGAGGTTCCCTTCCTAAGATAATTTCTAATTAATTTTAACTAATATTGATTTAACGGACATTATGAGTTAATAATTTAATACTCGCCTGCACTACGCCTATGTTTGAATTCCTTCGTTATTATTTTCAAATGACAAGAGAGTTTTGGGTGGATATCACACAATTTCGCAGCATCAGGACACTCAAGGATTGACGATGGTACACACAAATTCACTGATTCACTTTAATATCACAAATTGCAATAGCATTAACATGATATAAACAGGGAAAACAAACGTGAACACTACTGCGGCATCCATGTTCCTTTACCAAATAGCCCTGTGATTGGTTGATGCTGCCAGTGATGCCAAGCTTCTTGAAAGCATTAGGTTATCAGAATGTTTCTCTTATTAAATCAATTACTAATTTTACAGCTGATTCTCGGATTGCGAACGTGTGTAACTTGAGACAATGTTCCTGATGAGTGAGTAATGTACGGTTATTCATGAGTATGCCTCTACTAAATATTTTTTTATCCCCAAACATCGCTCGCCAATGTTGATTATAAAAATGTTCACTGCCAAATCGGTCATTTTCCCAGCATACAATCACCACTAACGTTTCAAGAAAATCACATGGATAATAACTGAGATATTAGGATGTATTCATGGAAAGCGAGACACTCTGTTTATGAAAGGACAATGACAATGCAAAATAACGAGTATCATCTGATTTTGTAAATTTGTATTCCCTTCTATGATGTGGAGTAATAGTGACTTCATTTGATCTAAATAGTTGACAATTATCATTACTGTTATAAAATTATCAGATAATTTTGTGACTCACCCAGATTAAAATCAATTCAAACTCGATTCAGAAATAAAATTATCAGCAGTAAAAAGATACTTAAAATAATCATTAACATAACACATGTCTTGTGTGATAGCCAAATGACTAGATTTATTATGTTGAACTGAGTGATAATTCGTTTTGGACTGTGGAAAGTGGTTTTCTTAGAGTAGAGTAGAGTAGCGTGTATTTCCATCAATTAACAGGTGTTTCTGACTGGTCAATATTACAAAAGATCTAACATCAGCATTGAATCACTAAATTAAGGTACATGCAGACTGATGTATAAAAATTGATCAACTAAAAGCGAAAGAAAACATACAAAACATATAAAATTTGACTTACAGCATAACAATTATTATTTTTTAGGCATTGATGTAACTTATGTATGTATGAAGAAGTTTAATTTCTCCCAAAGTGGAGTGGAAAGGTGCCAGAAGTATTGACTTGGAGTCGTCTGCAAAACATTGATAGTCAATACTTATAGAATCACTATTTTCCCTCGTTTTATTATGATAGATATTACATATGCAAATTACTGATATCAAATGTTATATTGCTTTTATATTTCATCATATCGTCGGCTTAATTTGCAAAGGTCGTAAGTCCAAAATACCAAATTTTACAGGAGAGACAAAAAACGTTTGAAATCATAATCAAATATGAATTAACCATGCAAAATACTTCAATTCATTTTTAAATATTCGATATTCGTTCCGATATATGAAAAATGAGAAAAAAATCACTCATACTTTTTTTGAAGGACTTACGAGCTTTTCCCATTTTTTCCCCAAAATTTGATGGACTTACAATTTTTGCGATTAAAGAAAACTACAATGATTTTCAAAGTTTTATTCGATTGAAATGTAACGTAAGAATGAAAAATCAACAAAAAAATATCCAGAAAATGAACATGACTTGAAGTTTGTCAATCTTCAATCAACATAGAACTAAATCGTACAGATCCCGAGAAAAACATAGCGTAGAAAGTGATGAAAAAATTTCAGAAAGCATTTTGCTGAGAGTTAAAAATATGGTAAATTGTCATAAAAAGAATGATAATCCTTTTTCAAACTTTTTTTCAAAGATTGTAAATTATCCCATTTATCCTTCTTTATTGGTATTGGCCGTCCATATAATTGGGGAAGAGATTCCAGTGAACAGGGTTGGATCTTGTTTGGATTTCGAAAAAGTAAGGGGGTGTATGTATCAGTATGTCTCAATTTATAAAGAATTGAACCATTTGGGGAATACTGCAATGCCCTAATATCGGTAACGACTGGATCTCCAGTCCGCTTTCCTGGGCGTAATGACGACAAAAATTTTAGCTCACCAAAGTTTTTGAAAAATGTATAGTCTAAATATTTCACTAAGTAGGGTGATGGATTTCTTCTTGCTGCTAAACAGACACCGACGTAGTCTGCTGGGACATTAATATCAGTTCTTCGGAGTCTCTGTTCAATGGTGGAATGTATGGAGTCTGCCTCCATTTGGGTGTGGCCCTTTTCCAAATATTTCTGCTCAATCGTTACTTTGTAGTATGAGGCCATATTCAGTAGAGCATTGGATAGATTTGCGTTTCTATTTTGTGACGTACAACCATCACTGTATATAATGATATTCTGATCGGGACTCAATGTTCCAATTACGAATTGTTTCAGAAAATAACAAATAATCGAACAATAGTCATTTGATGATACGCCACCAGCTGATTCATGCCATAAATAGCAATAGGCTTCTTTGGTCTTCATGTTATAGATTGTGAAATTGTGGACTATAAGTTTGGTTTTGAAATATAGTGACGATACGTTGGATTTTGGACAGAGTAATACAGACTGGAGATCCATACAGTAAACCTTGTTATTGGATTCTTTATCTGCAGCTTTAGATTCTCTTGCTTCTCTCTTCTTCAGCTGATGACATTCATAAGCTTCTTCTGATAAGTTTCCTGCTTTATACGTGAAACACGTATCACACTGGTCTTTTTTGGGTCTGAATAAGCTTAAATTCATTTCATCGAATATATGATAAAAGACTGCAATGGATAGTGGCTTCATGTGCTGTTCAACACACCATGTATTTTTATATAAGTTGTACAGCGCCGACTTGGAAGTCCAATTTGGTTCCAGATATAATTTTGAAGAGCTCGCTCTACAATAATGACTTTCAGTCTTGGGAATTTCTCTGAAAAACAGCCTTAGATTTTCTTTAAGATCATTTCTCACAGTCGAATTATCATTGTCAATTTCACTTTTCAACGACTTTCCTTCGGATAACTCAGCTTGTTTCCAGTTCATTACCATTCTTTCACCTATACCCAAGGTATTCAGAAACATTGTTTTGCATACTGGTATCCTCTCATCAGATTTTTTCAAATGATATTTCCAGGAATACTTCCTTCTGGATTCTGCCTCGACTAACCTGTGCCTGTGCCTCCTTGTAGTCTTCACATTCACCAACAATTGAATGTATAGTTTCCTTTGCTTCCAGTCTAACTCTGACCAAAACGAACTAAATATTTCAT